ACACAGTGCAGTCCACAAGAGAGGGATGATTGTGATCCACCTCAACCGGGCAGCTCTCCTGTGTTGCGCCGGTTGCCGCATCTGTAGGCGCTAGCGGCCAGCCTTCGCTCCACCCCACCCCACCACGTCGAGGATCGGGATTACTTTCTCCGTCGCACACGCGCGTAATAGAGACATGCCCGCCCTTCTCACGGCCTTCCGTGTCCTGTTTCAGGTACATGATCGAGCGGTTGGGGATGCCGCCCGAAACGGCTATTAACGGTACGTCACTAATTGTGTTTTTTACCCCTGTCATTATTTATTTAGATGTAATATTGGGTGTACGTGCCTCTCGGCCGAAGTGCTCCGAGGGCACCCAGAAAACGGTTTCTTTAATCCAAGCGGAATCTTTGATGCGACGTTTTCTGAAATAGGAAAATTTTTCCTTTGGTTCGAGGAAAACTTCCTAATAATAAAGATTTTTCTCATCCTGTGAACCAAAATTTATTTGATATAAAGTAGATTCCTTATTCTCAAATATCCTACAGAATGAAAGAAAACTTTTTTCTACACGAAAAAAAAAAGACTGTGTCGTAGTGACCAACCTCTGTTTGATAGGCTTCAGTTGATAGCTCCAATCGAACATCCGATGATTACAACCAGAACAAAAGCACCCCTTGTATGCGTCGTACAAGTATTTGATCGTGGCAACCAACTTCTGGTTGCTATCATCAGATTTTTGATTGCAGCTATCGACTCAAGCCCATTGAACAGAGGTTGGTCACTGCGACAAAGTCTTTTTGTTTTCCTGTGTAGATGAATAAGCGGATAACTACACCCTTTTCATTAATTTCACCGGCTTTTCTTTGGAACACTGAATTTCTCTGAACGCAGACTTCAACACGGCGCGTGGCCACAACATCGAGCGCGAGAACTACATCCAGGATCTGATGCACCCGAGGGCGGAGGCGGCGAGCGGGCGCCCTAGGAGCCGCGACCGCGGGCGGAGGGCGGACAAGCGTCGAAGGCCGGCGGGCGACGACGGCGGCGGCCAGGACGCAGAGGGCGAGGCCAAGCGCTCCCGGAGCGGCGGCGGCGACCGCGACCAAGGGCGGCGCGCCAAGAACAGGCTGCAGCTGGCCACGGACAGGAGGGACGCCAAGACGAAACTGCAGCACGACGAGCGGCGGCGGCAGCGCAGGGAACAGGGCTGGCGACCCCACAGCCCGCTCGACAGACCGCCTCATGGCCCACCCTATGGCCCACCCCATGGCCCACCGGGCGGTCCGCCCTATGGCCCACCCCATGGCCCACCAGGTGGTCCACCCTATGGTCCACCCCATGGCCCACCCCATGGACCACCATATGGCCCACCCCATGGTCCACCTCATGGTCCACCCCCAGGTGTTCCGCCCTTTGGCCCACCGCATGGTGCACACCACGGCCTACCCTATGGTCCACCGCGTGGTCCGCCCTTCGGCCCGCCGCGTGGACTTCCCCGTGGTCACCCACCCGGCCAGCCTGGCCGTTCTTATGGCCCACCTCCGGGTCCCGGTTTTCAGAGAGCCCGCAGAGACGCTCTCGCTGCGGCCTCTGGCCGGCCGGGCAGCAGAGGGCGGCCGCACTCCCGGGACGGCGCCAGACCCCACGACCGGATAGGGGGTTACGGGGGACCTTCCACCAGCGACCGCGGCCCGGGCCCGCTGGACGACTGAGAAACGGGTAGGTGGCTGACAAGTTTTATTAATATTTAGCTATAAAAAATGAGCACTAGTGTAATTGCTTTAGGTGAACAAATTGTGGGAATATGTAGGAAGCCAATACTGTCACCGTTGTAGACCTTTATATACTGCGAAAACGTGGAATGTGCAATTTTTCAGCGTGTTGAGGCGACAAATCAGTAATGTTTTTTTCGCGATTGTGGTGGATGAAGAAAGACGTTTTGTTTGTTAATGTTTCTTTTTGCTACAATTTTATACGATTGATTATATATTGTAAGTCTGAAATTACGTTATTACAATTTCTTTATATGGTGATATTTTTCTTAATTTAACTTACTCATTTGGAAAATAAAAATATTTGTACGATAAGATTATAACGTATTTGTGTGACGATTAAACTGAACGAAAATAGGGGCATGTTTTCCAAACAACAAAATGCTTGATCATTTATTTATTTCATTTCCGGTATCGCTTCGAATTTGTGTTTCTGCAACTGCAGGTGCTCCTCGCGCGCAACATTCTGCGCGTCGCTGGCCGTGCGGGGAGTGCGGGGGTGCGGTAGTTTCCCCACTTCCTCTCGGTCAACGACTCAACGCGACAATAAAAGCGAGCGCGCCCGCGCACACTTTGTCGAAAATATTTTATGGTGGGAGGGCTGCAGAAACGCTGCCACCGCCGCCCCCTGCTACTCCTGGCGGTCGCAGCGAAGCAGCGCGCGGCTAGCGCCATTGGGGGCGCGGAGCGGCGAGGCGGGAGAGGCGGGCGAGGCACTAGGACGGGGCGGGGACAGGTAAGTTGGTAACTTGTGCAATAAATATCCCTGCAGTGCGCGGGGGTGCTCACGAGGGCGCCTCCGCCCCCCTCCGCCCCCCCCCCTCTCTCTCTCTTCCACTTCGCGGCCCCACGCCATTCGTCGCGCCCCAGCGCGCCCTCCGCGCGGCGCCCACCTCCCCTCGCCCCCGCGAGGCTGCCTCCGCCCCTGGAACCTCCCCCACCTCCATCCTGCCGCCCGCTCCCCTCAGCCTGGTAGAAAACAACACTCTCCCCTCGCTGCTCGGTTAAGGGGGAAAAGTGAAAAGAACTCGTTGACCTCGGCGACGCCGTCAGGGTGTCGTGTGTGGGGGCCCACAGGGCGGGCGGCGATCGCCTCGTCGACGGGGAGGTGTACGACGGCGGCCTCGGTGCGCGCCGCAACACGCGAACCGCGCGTTCGCGGGGATGAGGGAGGAAGAGTCTTGTTCTGAATAGTGTACCAGAGGTGGTTTCCGCGGCCGCGTCCGAAGTTGGCCGGTGCGAGTGAGAGGTTGGTCCGGATGGAGCGTGTGGAGAGCACCTCACTCGCGCCGGACGCCTTCGGACGCGCCCCGGCCGCGGGTCCCCAACTCTGTCACGGCGGCTGGGGCCGCGGGGCTCGCGCGACGCGCGGCGCCAGACGGATGGGCCAAGTTGGCCGGTGCGCGCCCTCCTCCGCCGCGCGCCCGCACCGCCCGCTCCGCTCCCCGCGCCCCGCCAACAGTTCCTGAAACGCCCTAACTTCGGCATTTTGTCCCGTAAAATAGGGCGCCGCCCTATATCGGGCCGCCCACGCGAACAACACACGCGTCCTCCACTGTTGCGGCGTCCCCCTGCTGGCGTCCGCTGGGGCGCAACCTCTTGGTCCGCCGTTACATCGCGATCAGAGCGCCACACAGTGCAGTCCACAAGAGAGGGATGATTGTGATCC